TTAATGAGGAACTATATATAATTTTAAAAAAAAATGTAATTCATACTTAAACATTTTAAATTGTATTTTAAACTTCTAACTGTCATACAAATTTTAACAGAAAACTGATTTCAGATAGTGTCTTGATATTTCATATTATGTTTATTAAAAAAAACTTCAGTTAATGGAAATGATTTCATTAAACATAATATGGTTTCCTTGTTATCAATGATAATTCTTGACTTTCCTGTAAACAAATGGCAAATTTCCTTATAATGAAGCCACAAACAAAAAAATGTTATTTGATGATTTCAACTCAAGACAAGGACTTAAATCTACTATGTGTATTTGGGTTAAGACTTTGTGGGATTTTTGTAATTTTGAAGAAGCTAAATTATTTTAGGAAGCACTTAAGTGAAATTCTCAAATTCAGGAGAATATATATATTTTTGTAAATTCCTGGAATTTAACACTTTTTTTTAATGTCAGTGTTTGTTTTCTACAATTGAAAATAAAAGATCTCGTCCCATAGAATGTTTATCCCACAGACAAGTTGTCATCATGGGTTCCTCATAGTGGCACTGCATGAACTCAATTTTACCAAAAGCACTAGACCCTTGGGTCAAATACCTCATGAATCATAAGTTTAACAACATGGGAACCCTTGTGCCAACAACATGGGAACCCTTGGGCAAAAAACAAGACAAAAAAATAAAGGTTACCTGTGAAAAGGTATAAGGTGTCATATAGTAAGATAATGTCCTTTGCCAGGAAGCCTGAAAATGTGTCCTATAATAAAGACTTTAAAGACAATGATATTCTGATTACCACAATATTTGATACAATGTCTGATGTGCTTTAGCATATAATACAAGTTTGTATATAAATAGATCTGGTCATCACAAACACCAAACATGCAAAATAATATAGAACTATAAAAATCCCTCAAAACTATGGTAATATTGTAGATAACATTAAATTAACACTCATAATACAGGGAATTTCTTAGATTCAAGTCAGCGCACAAGCTGCAGCAAGTTTCCAATCATACCTAAGCTACTTTTTAAACTTAATCAAATGTCTCTATAAATATATTATAATGCAAGTGCAGTCCAAACTTTAGTTTGCAATAGAATGATATAAACTATTTGTTTTCTACTATACAAAAATGCTGATGCAACATAATGGTTATCACATATTAAATCTAAACTTACATTTCCATATATTTTTTAAATGAAAAAAATGTTTTTAAACGAATGAAATGGAGTTATCATCACTCAGAAAGGCAGTTTTTCATATGAGAAAACTAGTAATGTAAGAAACTTTTTTGCTACGTTGTTATTGTCAAGCGGTCTTCATGACAACCTATTGCAGTTTCTATTTTTCCTTTTCAATAGCTAACTAATTTTTTTGGTAATTTTTTTAACTAATTATGTTAGCGTATTCATAAAAGAGGTTTAATTTTTAACATACTAAATTATTTTTCAACCTCCAAAAGCTGCCAGAAAAAGTTGTAATGATATTGTTATTTTTACATTTAATTTTAATGGAAAGAAATTATCTTAATAAAAAAACCCACATATTTTAAGAGGAAAAAAAAAAAAAAAAAAAAAAATAATTTAATAAAAAAAATAAAAAAAAAAAAAAACAAAAAAAAAAACAGAAAAAATTGTAATGATATTGTTATTTTTAAATTTAATTTTAATGGAAAGAAATTATCTTAATAAAAAAACCCACATATTTTAAGAGGAAAAAAAAAAAAAAAGGAACAGTTATTTTAATAAAATAGATCAAGAAACTGAAGGCATGAAAGGAAATTTATATTTAAAAAACATTTTGAAATAAGATGTAGGATACTCAATTTTTTTTTTACCCCCAAAATAATTGCATTGAGCTAAATTCAGAATTGATTTACCCCAGAAAGGAGACAAATGGCATGGTCACTCCTATGTGGGATAACCATCTTGAATCTCAGATTCCCTAAATGAGATCTTGATATTTTATTATTGATCTTATAGTTAAAATGGGTTTAGATATTAGGCCTATATGTTTCATAACTATAGTTATGATCAAATGTAAAAGCTCAATCTCTTTGTCTCCCATTATTCTCATTGCTCTATTACAAACCATATTGGCCGAAGCAGTAAGAGTTTTGCACTATCAACATTTAATTCTGGCTATGATAGAATCACACTCACATGCCACCTCAGGAAATCAAAAGCCATACACAACTATGGCATGTTTACGTACCCAATCTCATTAGTCAACAGAAAATGAAATTAATTGAATGTTTTACAAAGTGGCAATGCTTGCATACATCAAACTGTTTTAAAGTTCTCTAGTGAGAAGCTAAGTAGTTAATCCTCTAATCCTCTGGCTGTACAGGTGTGCTGTTGTTAGAGACATGGAGGCAGTCAGTATGTTGAGTCAGTATGTTGATACAATGTGACATACATATGCAGTTACACCCCTAAAGTGTATGTCCTGTGTGGGTCTGGCATAAAAGAAAACCTCTTTTTTGTTCAAATGGCAAGGAATTCTTTTCAGCCTAATAACTTTTGCCACATTTAAATTTTGCCAGCCGCTATTTAATAAACTATAAACAGGATAATTAAAATACATTTTTGTGGGTGCATTATAAAAAAACTCAGTAATCCTGAGTGGAGCGAAAATTGAATAACGATGAAAAAAATTCAGTGTTCACATACAATGACTATGTCTATCATTGTTATGATTTGTATCACAAATAACTGCAACAGAGTGAATACTGCTCCAACATTGTTATAATAATTTGCTACTTATCATTTAATAATCTTGTTTCATTAGAGCAAAATTGTATCAAACTCCTTGTTGCAACATAAAAAACATTCATTTTTATATAGTACTTTTGTATCTTTGCTATTATCCATATTGAATCAAAATGCACAGGTTATTTTATATTTTTATCATATTTTACAAGAATATTGAATGAAGAAACCTAATCATGAAACAAACCAAAAATTATATTTAAAAAAACAAAATACAAGTGGCATGATCTGAGCTGAGTTATCTCCCATTAAGCATGGCCGTAGCACCAGGTGGAGCCAACAGGTCACAGAACTCATGAAGGGCATCTCTCAGAGCTTTGGACACCTGGATAAGAAAATGGAAGAAAGAAAGTGGCATCAAAGTTAGCAGAGACATAAGAGTCACAAATAAGATGGAATGTCTTCAAGTTTACCGCAGTCTTTAATATGTTAACAGATCATTCAAAAAGTGCACATCTTTCTAACAAAGAACATTAAAGTAAATAATACACACACACACACACAAATAATTAATGTTGAAAATAATACAAATAACTTAATTCAAAAATAATTAAAACCTTTCCTGTTCAACAGTTAACATATTTCTAGTGGTCAAATAATGTAATATGTATAGACCAATATGCTGTTAATGACCAGCAATCATAAGTAAAAAAGGTTTACTGAACTGACTTGAGAGGACATCACGAATTATATGACTAAAATTTGATTTGTGTTTACTGTTCAATAAATGGAAATACCATAAAGAGGTCAATTTTATACTGTAAAAAAGGGGGTTGGGGATATCATTATTTTGAAATTAAAAGTTATTAATATTGAAAATAAACAAGAGGTTTACTAAAGAAGATCAACAGATGGAGATCTTACCAAGGTAATTCAATCTTACCTGAGGGGAAGGGGATGTAGTGCACTCCACCAATGCTGGGTATAACTTGATCACCTGGTTCCACACATTCAGTTCAACTGCCATGAAAATTAAACAAAACCATAAGCCCTGATTTATTTTTATAAATTATCTGCCACTGATGTAACCATTAAAGTAGAATTTAGTTTAGACATGAAATATCTTAAGACAAGGAATTGGGATGTCCACTGAATTTGATAAAGTGCCAAAACAAAGGCGTAGTTTTAGTTGTGGAGTGAAAACTGCATGATTTACTTCCAAATAAGCTTACCATTCTCCTTGGGGGCCTTCTTGAGGGACTGTAGCAGCGTTGTGATGGCTTTGAGTACAGATGACATTTCCACCAGCCTGGCCCTGTGAGGGACACAAATGATGGTGGTCAGCATTAATGAATGACCTTTTGTCTTTTGAAACTTTAGTGTTTGAAGGGAAGTTAACTTGCCCAATTTAACGGAATCATTAATTCTAAGAGACCCATCGGTGGGATTTCACAACAAAATATAATTACTAACAAAACAAATCTATCATGTGATTTCTCACTTCATTATTAATTAAAGATTATAACTGTAAAATAAGATTAATTAAGCATAAAAAAATAATAATTAAGAATAGATTAAACAAGGATACTAAATATTTTATTTGTATTTGTATATTAATAAAATAAATGACTGGCTTAAATAAGTCACCCAGACTAACCAAAAAACAAACACAAAATTGGTGGAATTTTTCATGAAATAAAGGACATTCATCAAAAGACTTGACATACATTATATATTTCAATGGACATTTTTGTTGAATAGCCATATGGGTGGCCGATGAGTCTAAACTGACTCAAACCAAATAGCTGGTGGTCTGGAATTCAATCCCAACCAAAGCCAACATCCCAAGCACTCCGGGTAGTCGGGACTTGTTAGTCTTGGATGGCAACTCATCTAGCAGAAGGAAAACTCTGAATTCAAACCAGGAGCCAGAATAAATTGATTTTGGGCCCTCAAATAGAAGAAGATGTCGTGTATGTAAAATCCAACAAAATATACAAAAGTAGAGTTACCTGGGCAGTGGACACAACATATACAAAAGTAGAGTTACCTGGGCAGTGGACACAACATATACAAAAGTAGAGTTACCTGGGCAGTGGACACAACATATACAAAAGTAGAGTTACCTGGGCAGTGGACGCCACATATACAAAAGTAGAGTTACCTGGGCAGTGGACACGACATATACAAAAGTAGATTTACCTGGGCAGTGGACACCATAAATGCAAAAGTAGAGTAACCTGGGCAGTGGACACCATATCTACAAAAGTAGAGTTACCTGGGCAGTGGACACTTGCCACTGAGACGCTCGTCCTCCACGTACTTGGTTATGACATCGTGACACCGTCGCAGTAGTGACATGACAGCGAGACGTGTTAGCTGACCTTGCTCAGACACAGTGTCACTGACAAAGGAAAACTGGAGCAGGGTCTCAAAACACGTCCTGGCAAAATCTTCCCTCAACTTCCGGCTGGATTCTGTGTCTGCTGCGGAAATGGGGGAATTTGGAAAGGGGGTGGTGGGGTTTGCATAAATTTTACATTAAAATAATTCACATACAAGATAAAACAATGATTATAATTCACATACAAGATAAAACAATGATTATAATTCACATACAAGATAAAACAATGATTATAATTCACATACAAGATAAAACAATGATTATAATTCACATACAAGATAAAACAATGATTATAATTCACATACAAGATAAAACAATGATTATAATTCACATACAAGATAAAACAATGATTAGCTCTTATTGAATACATTTTATTATAAGCCCATTGGAGTTGTATATGTCGGTAAATGGGAAAAATATGTGTTCTTTATAACAGATGTTAGAGCTAAGACCATAACTGGAACAAAGTCATTGGGGGAAACCATCAGGTTAATATTATTATGCCACCTACCAACGAAACAGTCAGATGTTGTTGAGTGTATGGATCCTCTATTCAGGATATCCATGACCTTGACCATGAAGTCAGGGGGCAGGTGTCCGGCATGGGGCAGTATGTCATCACGAATGAGATTAACCACACGGCAGTCGAATGACTCGTCTCGCTGGAAGTCTTCCACAGAAAGAGTTGGTGGACATGAGCTGTGGATTAGGGTCAGTGTTAAGATGTGAACAAGAGGTGGCAGTGTTTATTTATGAACTTGGGGTGGCAGTGTTTATATATGAACTTGGGGTGGCAGTGTTTATATATGAACTTGGGGTGGCAGTGTTTATTTTTAACTTGGGGTGGCAGTGTTTATATATGAACTTGGGGTGGCAGTGTTTATTTTTTAACTTGGGAATGAGCTTGGGGTGGCAGTGTTTGTATATGAACTTGGGGTGGCGGTGTTTATTATGAACTTGGGGTGGCAGTGTTTATATATGAACTCGGGGTGGCAGTGTTTATATATGAACTTGGGGTGGCAGTGTTTATATATGAACTTGGGGTGGCAGTGTTTATATATGAACTTGGGGTGGCAGTGTTTATATATGAACTTGGGGTGGCAGTGTTTATATATGAACTTGGGGTGGCAGTGTTTATTTATAAACTGGGTGTGCAACCGTTATTTGTATCTGGGGGGGAGCCTGTATTTTTGTATCAATTGGAGGTTCCAGTGATAATATATAAACTATGGGTGCCAAAGTTAAATACTTTTAATGGGAATCTTAGTGGCATTGTGTCCAATAAGATAAGTGAGTGGATATTGTTAAGTGAATAGTTGATTGATAGTGTGATAGGAGATAAATCTATCAGTCTGAATAGCAATCAAATTAAATCAAGCAGCAAAACGCTGTCCAACTCACTGCTGAGAGAATAAGAAGTCTTCAAACAATCCGGCCAGTTCCCCCCACATGGACTGAAAGGATTTACCTGAAAGGCAAATGACAGGTTATTAATTTAGACCAAATAATTCATCTTGAAATTAACATTTTCATCTTCATCTTTAAAAACAAATGTCTAGGAAACATCTGTAGATATTAACACTTAAAGAAAGAAGATTTCTTTGTGTCTGGCCCCAGTTACTCATGGCTAAAACCTGGCAAAATCTGTCAACTCTTAACTCACATAAAAACATTCTAAATTCTCCACTGCCATCATTTCAAACAACAGTGTAATTCTCAATTTTTGAGCCACCCTGTGAACAGTGGGCTAGTGAGACAGTGAGAACTGGAATACTGAATAGTGAGCAGTGGAATAGTGAATAGTGAATCACGATTAAAGTAACAGCGAAACAGTAAATCTACTTTTAATTGACTCTTCTGCTCTCAGAGCGAGTATCACTTGGGCCTGCATTTACAATGTAAGATCGTGGAGCAACTACTTACATCTCAGCCTAAATTTACAATGTAAGATAGTGGACCACCTATTTCTCATATCTAGGCCTGCATTTACACTTTAAGATAGTAGAGCATCTACTTACATCTAAGCTTACATTTACAATGTAAGATAGTGTACCACCTATTTCTTATATCTAGGACCACATTTACAAAGTAAGATAGTGGACCACCTATTTCTTATATCTTGGCCTACAATTACAATGTAAGATAGTGGACCAATTACTTATTTCTAGTAATCTAGGCCTACATTGATAATGTAAGATAATGGATCACCTGACCTACTTGTATCCAGGCCTGCTTTTACAATGTAAAATAGCAGAACACTTAACCTTACAATGGTGGCTAAGGATACAGACTCCACTCGTATTACATCAACCCATCTCATTATTCATGTAAGATTGTTGAGGCTTTCTTCCTACCAAACTTACGATTTTGGCGGGCCACGGGAAGTCCAACGGCCAGGACCACGAAAAGAGAATCAGCCACCAACATCCATGTCGTTGGGGATGGACAGTCATATTTGAGACCCAGTGGCAGGCGGAATGTCTGGGGGGGACAAAAAACAATAACAGACTTACAAAACTAAAATATAATAACATTTGAGTTTATTTCGGCTCAAGTATTATTACTGGTAAAAAAATTATTATAAATATTATTACAAGTATTATTACATTACAAGTATTATTACAATACAAGTATGATTACATGTATTATTACAAGTATTATTACAATACAAGTAGCCACTGCGGTACAAACGTATATCTCACCAGGTTTGTGGAACACGCGAATCTTGCAAACGACTCAATATTGTTCAACAATCATTTCAATCATCTGCAAACTCTCAAACTTAATATCGTGCTTGAACTCGCTCTGGACATGTGGAGGAAAGCCAGCAGTTGGGGAGGGGGGGATGTATGGTAATCTTGATGTCAGCGCCTTTGATTCATAGACACATTATACACTTTTCAGAGAACTAACATGTTGAACAGTTGCAATTGGGTGGACAGCTTGTGTTGGTCCTTATAGGTGAGTGCACTGTTGACCATTGTACACCATTGACCATTGTACACCATTGATTATTATACCCCATTGATTATTGTACACCATTGACCTTGTACCCATTGACCATTGTACCCCATTGACCATTGTACACCATTGACTATTATACATCATTAACCATTGTAAACAATTGACTATTGTACACCATTGACCATTGTACATCGTTGACTATTGTACAAGATATACCATTGTACACCATTGGTCATTGTACACTATTGACCATTGTACACCATTTACTATTATACACCATTAACCATAGTAAACAATTGACTATTGTACACCATTGACCATTGTAAAGAATTGACTATTGTACACCATTGACCATTGTATTGTAAACAATTGACTATTATACACCATTGACTATTGTAAACCATTGACTATTACTCTACCGACAGTGGCACATGAGTATTTTAAATGAGAGATGAGATAACCAGACACTGATGAGAGATTACTGACTGCGATTTTAAAGATCAAATGTGGGAGCTGGGTTCAATAGTGGTTGGGAGGGAGCTGGGTTCAATAGTGGTTGGGAGGGAGCTGGGTTCAATAGTGGTTGGGAGGGAGCTGGGTTCAATAGTGGTTGGGAGGGAGCTGGGTTCAATAGTGGTTGGGAAGGAGCTGGGTTCAATAGTGGTTGGGAAGGAGCTGGGTTCAATAGTGGTTGGAAGGGAGCTGGGTTCAATAGTGGTTGGGAGGGAGCTGGGTTCAATAGTTGTTGGGAGGACATCGTAAGTGAAATAAACCTGTTTTTTTAGTCACTAATCTTATCAATGCGTTATCTACGAGCTCATGGGATATCATCAAACATCAGCAGCAAAGCATGGGATATCATCAAACATCAGTAGCAAAGCATGGGATATCATCAAACATCAGTAGCAAAGCATGGGATATCATCAAACATCAGTAGCAAAGCATCATGGGATATCATCAAACATCAGCAGCAAAGCATGGGATATCATCAAACATCAGTAGCAAAGCATGGGATATCATCAAACATCAGTAGCAAAGCATGGGATATCATCAAACATCAGTAGCAAAGCATGGGATATCATCAAACATCAGTAGCAAAGCATGGGATATCATCAAACATCAGTAGCAAAGCATGGGATATCATCAAACATCAGTAGCAAAGCATGGGATATCATCAAACATCAGCAGCAAAGCATGGGATATCATCAAACATCAGTAGCAAAGCATGGGATATCATCAAACATCAGTAGCAAAGCATGGGATATCATCAAACATCAGTAGCAAAGCATGGGATATCATCACACATCAGTAGCAAAGCATGGGATATCATCAAACATCAGTAGCAAAGCATGGGATATCATCAAACATCAGTAGCAAAGCATGGGATATCATCAAACATCAGCAGCAAAGCATGGGATATCATCAAACATCAGTAGCAAAGCATGGGATATCATCAAACATCAGTAGCAAAGCATGGGATATCATCAAACATCAGTAGCAAAGCATGGGATATCATCACACATCAGTAGCAAAGCATGGGATATCATCACACATCAGTAGCAAAGTATCGGATATCATCACACATCAGTAGCAAAGCCTGGGATATCATCACACACTAGTAGCAAAGCATGGGATATCATGACACATCAGTAGCAAAGCCTGTGATATCCTCACACATCAGTAGCAAAGCCTGGGATATCATCACACACTAGTAGCAAAGCATGGGATAACATCACACATCAGTAGCCAGGCATGTGATATCATCACACATCAGTAGCAAAGCATGGGATATCATCACACATCAGTAGCAAAGCCTGGGATATCATCACACATCAGTAGCAAAGGTGTAGCTATGATTAGTGCCAAGGTGTGCCGTCCCTTCAAACAAAAATTTTTTTTCGGATAACTGCAGATATTTTGATTGGTTAAAGGGTGCGACACTAACCCTAGCTACGCCACTGGATGGGTGGGTCGTTTTTAAACCCGCCTTTGATAACGATCCGCTTTGGTACGGCCACCGCATGAAAAAAGGGAGGTCAGCCACAATAAAGTTGTCCCACACCTAACGTCTGATCAGACCGTGCCATGAAATCCATTGATACCAGCCAAAGAGGCAGAGGACATCGTGGAGACCAATGGAGTCGAATTGAAGTTTACGCTGAGCGTATGAGGAGCATGGTAATCAGATTAGCATTTTGAGATTAGGACCACCTTGTCAGGATGACGAATACTTAATATACTCGAATACTTGTAATCGTTTCAATCACTGGATTAAGAAACAAGCTGCAGCCATGCCTTTAAAAATAATACAACAAAAAAGTCACGAGGAAAAAAGTCACAGAAAAAAAAATAATTTTATTTTTAAGTCCACATAGATCTAAATATTTATTATAGACTACATATCGGTACCGGTATTTAGAAGTAAGACACGTCTCATTAGGCACGTGCTTTGATTCTCGCAACGGATTTCATATTTGTGTGAAGTCTAGACTACATATTATAAATTATAATGACACATTCAATTCTATGATTTGTTCATAAGTAGTTACATTGTCATGCGTGAAGCCAATGAACACGAAAGTTACAGATTGAATAACAATAAATGGTAGTAAGCGATTGAGCAGAGATTAAGCTCTCGCCCAAAAGGATTGTCATTTGACTTTCGGGGGATCGTAATAAAAGTCACAAATTTTGCTAGGAAAAAAGTGACAAGAAAAATAAAGTTTGATAATAGATAAGTTTTAAAGTAACAAATCATAAAACAAAAAAATTCTTTATCATTCGGTGAAAATTCCCATAAGCTCATAGTCAGTCATATTCATGTAAATGTTTATTTCAATACAAGCGATAATATCATGAATTAAATAAATTCTTATAACATTGAGGAACATATGAATGTTTATATCTTTTTTGTCAAAAGCCGCATAGACCACATTGAGACTGCTTGTGCTTTGTCTGGATAGAACTATCAGTCAACTAGTACCACATTGCAATGCCCTTTCCTGTCCTTTGATTCCTTCCTGCCTAGGTGAGATGTGTCGGTGAGATCAGAGGCGAGAATCCAATCACAATCCTTTTGGGCGAGAGCTTACTTAATCTCTACCCAATCGCTTATTAGCATTTATTTTATTCAATTTGTCATGAAAGTATACAGTGGCTTCATGCATAACAATGCAAATAATTTTGAATCCATAGAATTAAATGTGTAAAATATGTACACATAATACAAATATCACATACACGCATGTATAGCTGTGTTATAATAAATCATAGTATTAAATGTGTGAGCTATGCCTATATATAATATAAATAAAAAACACATTTAATCCCAAGCAAAGAATAAAACATTTCGATTGGAACAAGCTACTGTTATTTCTATTTCTGTTTTTCTGTAAATAAACATACATATGGACTTACAAATATCATTTCATAAACACTGACACATAAGAATTTATAAACATACAACAAATTGTTTCACTTTATCTATGACTTTTTGTCTGACTTTGTTTTTCCCTGTGACTCTTTGCCAACAACTACAATCGATTCTCGCTCGGGGGCCGGGGGGGGGGGTGCTCTTCTGTTACGTGTCTGTGTGTGACTGAAAAAAAGGATCCGCCTCCGATTCCCCCCCCCCCCAGGGGGGCGGGGGGGGGGGTGCTCTTCTGTTACGTGTCTGTTTGTGACTGAAAAAAAGGATCCGCCTCCGATTCCCCCCCCCCCCACATCGTAAAGGAATCAAAGGACAGCCAAAGGTATGACATTGTGGTACTAGTTTAGTGATAACACTGTCCCGGCAAAGCATCGATGGTCTCAATGTGGTCAAAGCGGCCTTGGACCGAAAGATAAAATTTCATGTGTTCCCCAATCTGCCAATCTTGTTAAAATTGACCAGGGTAATAAGGGGAGAGACTGCCGACATGTTCGTTGTTTTGGTGCGTTCCTTTTGTCAGGTTTAACCCCACTTGGATTTACTCATTTGATAAAATTGACCAGTGCGCTCCTTTCAGACTTGACTGTTAAGTTTATTCCTGTGAATTTTTGGTTCCATTTTCTGACATTTAGTCTGTTATAAATATTTATATCGACTTAAACATAAAATAAAATTAAGATTTAAGGTTAATAAAAAGTTTTACTGTGATTTTTTATGTGACATTTTTATGTGATTTTTTCCTGTGACTTTTTCCTACAATTCAAAAACAAAAACAAAAAAATCCCCCAAAATGTCACAAACCAATTGTCAAAGTTTGACTAAGTATTTCCATGCTTTCCAAAACCTAGTTTTAAATTGAATCCACCATCTGCACTGGTCGTGATCGAAACATGTCACTTTGACCTCTCCGGGTCCATGGGTCAAGGTATCCTTCACAAGTAGTGATATGGTTATTATTGATTACTGTTCTCTTGGCCATTGGTCATTAAGAATACACTTGAATACAGTCAAGTACTTGACGTCATCTACGATTCTTACTGGACCTTCGCCTGACTGACCAGGCCGGGTATATTCAGTGGACACATCTCAAACAGTGGACGAGCGACGGGTTATTATGGGCTCAATCATTGTGTTTGGGTCGGGTTCATAAAAAAACCCACACAATTTCAAATCTCATTCTTTCCAAATTAAATTGAAAACATCCATGTCATTTTTGGGTCTAACTTGTAGGGGCACACAGTGTAACTGTAGCCAGAAAGAGGGGCAGACAGTGTAACTGTAGCCAGAAAGAGGGGCAGACAGTGTAACTGTAGCCAGAAAGAGGGGCAGACAGTGTAACTGTAGCCAGAAAGAGGGGCAGACAGTGTAACTGTAGCCAGAAAGAGGGGCAGACAGTGTAACTGTAGCCAGAAAGAGGGGCAGACAGTGTAACTGTAGCCAGAAAGAGGGGCAGACAGTGTAACTGTAGCCAGAAAGAGGGGCAGACAGTGTAACTGTAGCCAGAAATCTGAGAGCTCAGCTCAAAAACTTCACGTTCTAAAACTTTTATTAGCTGCCGCTGTGGACATAGTTCCAGGGCCAACAATTCTCTTAATGTGTGACATAGTTCCAGGGCCAACAATTCTCTTAATGTGTGACATAGTTCCAGGGCCAACAATTCTCTTAATGTGTGACATAGTTCCAGGGCCAACAATTCTCTTAATGTGTGACATAGTTCCAGGGCCAACAATTCTCTTAATGTGTGACATAGTTCCAGGGCCAACAATTCTCTTAATGTGTGACATAGTTCCAGGGCCAACAATTCTCTTAATGTGTGACATAGTTCCAGGGCCAACAATTCTCTTAATGTGTGACATAGTTCCAGGGCCAACAATTCTCTTAATGTGTGACATAGTTCCAGGGCCAACAATTCTCTTAATGTGTGACATAGTTCCAGGGCCAACAATTCTCTTAATGTGTGACATAGTTCCAGGGCCAACAATTCTCTTAATGTGTGACATAGTTCCAGGGCCAACAATTCTCTTAATGTGTGACATAGTTCCAGGGCCAACAATTCTCTTAATGTGTGACATAGTTCCAGGGCCAACAATTCTCTTAATGTGTGACATAGTTCCAGGGCCAACAATTCTCTTAATGTGTGACATAGTTCCAGGGCCAACAATTCTCTTAATGTGTGACATAGTTCCAGGGCCAACAATTCTCTTAATGTGTGACATAGTTCCAGGGCCAACAATTCTCTTAATGTGTATTAGAATGATTACATTTAGATACGTGCTTGATATGAAATAAAATCTAAGTCTAAGTTTAATTAAGTGGTTCGCAAAATTAGTTTGAGGAAAACTGACCAAAGGACTAGCAGTTGCAAGGAAAAAAAGTGACCCTACGTTGAACTAACTGACCATCAGTTGGACTGACTGACCATCGTGTGATTCCCCCCCCCCCCAAACCATCGACTGACCAATCACATCTTTTCCTACGTCACTCGCGTCTCACTAAACGTTGGTCGGCGTTATAACACGCAATGTTACGTCAAGGGATTGACCCTAGTTTACGGAGGGGGTCGTCTCAAAGTAACAATTGACATGTCGTTAACGGAGTTTTCGTGGGTGGGCGGAATAAAGTCACAAAAATAAAGTCACAGAAAATAAAGTCACAAGTAAACACGTCACAATTAATTGTAGCAGATACAAAGTCACGGAAAAAACAATTTTAAATTAACCGTAGATTTATTTGTAAGTCCATAGAAATGTTTGGTATTATAAATATCGGTCAATGGAAGTAAGAGACGGCCCATTAGGAACGTGGTTCGGTTCTCGCTTGGGATTAAATATGTGTTTGTTATTTGTATTCTGAATACATATTATAATCACACATTGAATTCTATGATTTATTCATACTATTGATATAATTTTTGTCCTGTTACCTTATTTCAAGCTTCCACATACCTCGTTTCACTATTTCATTGATATCATTGTTGCCGCACCTCGCTTCCTTCACTACTTATTTTAAGTGGATGAAAATAAAATGAATTATTTCAAAATTCATTTTCAGGAAATTATTTTTTAGGAAATTATTTAAAAGTCAAAGAAAGATTTTTTTTATAGTGAACTGAAAGAATGCTCTACACTTCATGACTCCAAAGTCTCCACTGCGAGAACTCCCTGGCCACTATGAGACGGTCCCTTGTGCCATGAAAGAGCCCCTGAGCCTCGTGTCACGCTGGCCTGTACGTAACGTTACGCAAGAATGACCCGGTGTGATTCAATCAGCCATGGACGGGACCAGCTGTTGAGATAACGGACTACAACATGCCAAGCTCTGCGTGTATCGCATCGGCCCTTGACCAACACACACAGACTTATTTACTTAGCCTGTCAAACACACACACACAGTTCCACTGACCCAAATACGGCCAACAGGGAGGTACACCGCTTTCTCTACGTACCCTTCAAGACGCGGGAAATGTGTTCATGGGTGCAATGGCCCAGTAGCGCACGTGTCCACTACATTTTCGACATGTCTACCGTTGTTTCTGTTATTACATGTCTAATTATAATCTTGAACTGGAAATGTTGAGCAATTCTTTGATGGCGTGCTCCAGAAGACAAGACGTCACAAAGGTGACCTCTAACCCCAACTAAGGGGATATTGAGGGCTCAATGGAATTATATTGAAATGAAAAAAAAAAAAGAATTGCAAACAACAATAATTTTCACAAAATAAGAAAAAGAAGAAGTGGGCTGTCATTGTAACCAGTGAAGGTCACTGAAGATTAAATCATGATATTCATTGTCATACGAGCTGAAAGATGTGGCTGACATGAGGCCATGTTTTCACGCCTCTCAGATTCACCTAGAAGACTTATCACTTAACATGTTCGAAATCGGAGTTGCAATTTTACAAATTTACAAATTGTAGGCCTAACATGACCTACCGGTACAATCGATAGTACTACTTACTAACATATCTGATTGGTTGACTCCAGTGAAAATGGATTAATAAATCTCTAAAAAGAATATGGTACACTTGGTCATAGGAAATACTTGAAAGGGACATTGAATAAAAAACATAATTTAACAACAACGACCGAACGCAACCCAAAATAAGCATCGTAATGGATGTCATGGTAACGGATGTCATGGTAACTGATGTCATCGTAACGGATGTCTCAGTTTACGACCATTTCAACTTCTACTTCTACAGAGATGGGCCATTTTGATGGACTGGGAGTGGTTGCTGAGGGGCGGCACTTGGTTCTTGATACTGACACGCGGCACTTTCACTTTCGGCCAAATGCAAAGTTGTTTCGTGGACAGGGGCGTCAAGAAGCTTGGCCCTCAACGGGCGGCACCAACCGTAGCTACGCCACTGACCAGAATATTTTGCAATTGTAAATTGATCTTTTTTGAAGTATAAAATTAGATTAAAATGAGAGTCAATGTGATGGCTACACCTCTGCCACTGTTCTCTACCAGTTCATGAGCCAAGGTCTTGGTTGGTCATTGGAAAATATTAACAACGAACAAAAAGCACAGGAGAACGTTGAAATGTAAGCCTTCCCATATACTAGCACCTTCCTATGTACTAGCACCTTCGTACTAGCACCTTCCCATATACTAGCACCTTCCCATGTACTAGCACCTTCCCATGTACTAGCACCTACCCATGTACTAGCACCTTTCTATGTACTAGCACCTTTCTATGTACTAGCACCTTCCCATGTACTAGCACCTTCCAATGTACTAGCACCTTCCAATGTACTAGCACCTTCCTATGTACTAGCACCTTCCTATGTACTAGCACCTTCCTATGTACTAGCACCTTCCTATTTACTAGCACCGGTTGGTCACTAACGATGATTGGGCGTCATTGTTGAGTATATATCAACGGTCTGGCTCAACAACAACGCAATTCATTGCAAATGTGATCTAGTTTGTGGGAGGGTGCGGTGGTAGGTAGACAATATCTCCGATTGTAATACCTACAGCCTACAACAAAGCATGGCGATGGGGTGGGGGTGGAGGGGGAACTATTGGGAGCGGGTAATCCCTCCCCCCTCTCTATTGAAAGTGGCGATTTTTATACGCGCTGACCAGCGGTCATTTTTGTTCCCTCCACATAACAGCGAGGGCTATTGCGGCAGAACGTCTAACACGGGACCCGGGCGTTGGGTAAGGTTAGCGAATAGTGTGCAACAGCCGCTGGGAGGACCGGTCTCATCACTGCCAGGTAACTCTTATTACATCTTTACACAGTCATTACCTTACTCATCGTTCAGCTTACATCAACGCCATCGTCATCGGTTTCCTTTGTTGTGATGTTACCTAACTCACCTCTGATGTAAGGAGTCGTTTGTGTTAATAAGAATCGTGTTTCGGGAACCAAGTGTTAAGACAAGGAGAAAGCGGAAAAGAAAACTGCAGAAAGAAAAATACCCTCGTTGTTCGCTCGGCCAACGAAGACCAATGATCTATACACGAGTTGCGCGATTTAAAATGGTTGGAACGATCATTGAGTGTTACACAATGGCGACTAGCTGAACATCAATACAATTGTTCCTTAGCTTTTAAAGACACTTTTGAATTTTAGCGTTGACAAAGCCGTGAATTTTGAGCAACGCGAACTGACCACGGGTGTAAACATAATTCTATACAATGGCAGCCTTTATGCTTCCAACGTCTCATCAAATGAATGAGTGGTTATGAATCTTTGGATTACATCGGTTCATTCATTTCAGTGATTAAAGAACGGTCAATGTTGCACTGACGTCACTTTTTAGACCTTAGAGGGGTTTTTGGTCACAACTTTCACGTTAGGCCTCTACATTATGATTAACACCACTACATTAGTGGCACTGAAAAAAATATAATCGTTGAATTAACAATGAAGTACCGTACTCAGTACAACATTTAACCATGGGTCTGGATTTAATACGGCGTTGTACTACATAACAAAGACATGCAATGTTAAACTAAGGGACTGACTAAGTGCGACTGAAATATCCCACCCATCATAGAATTAACTGTTAGGCTTCAGACACCTTTCGGAAAATGTCAATAGTTACACTGTATAATCTGTATTATAGTCTCATAGTCAGAAGTTAGGTCTTGTACCGGTACTAGTACCGGTAATATTAGTTGTTAGTTGCACTTTAGGTCAGATAGCATTTATTCTTTACCTTGGTTATGGATGTCAGTAAAGAACCAGATTTTTACGACCAAAATAATTATTCAAAGACATGATCTGTGAAATAACTTAAAACTGTTACCGATACATCAAGTGATCCCAGTGGCGTTCACACGATCAAAGTTTCGTCAAATTTCTTTTTGAACGCATAATGCTGTAACACGAAATAGTGATTGTGACACAAAATAGTGATTGTAACACGAAATAGTGATTGTGACACAAAATAGTGATTTCAAAAAGAAATTTGTCGAAAATTTAAACTAAACATTAACAATTTGTATAACTTGCATCTCTTCGTAACCAATCCTCTTATTTACATATCCCACATTTACTGACACTCTGGCGACACGTAAAACATATTTCTATTTTTACGATCGGGTTTTGAGGTTTGATTAGCTTGAACCGTTTGGAGTCTTAGTAACATTAAATACCTGGAGTTAAATTATTATTTTTTTATTTGTTAATCTTCTAATTCTAAGGCATAGTTTAGTAGACAGACCAGTCAAAAGACATTGGCCGTGCGACCACCAGGGGAAAAAAAAAAAGGTTTATTTTGGGAGAGACAAGGGCAAATGGGGTGGCGGGTTGGTTGATATCGTAATCGTATCCGCTTTCATATCCTTCGTGGTTGTCATGGTTTGACTGCGTAAACATGGGTTGGATGACGTTACCGTGAAATATGAAGTTATTTAGATTAGTGGGTCAGTTTTAAATGGTACTAACCATTTTACTGGAGTCTAGTTAAGAGACAAGAAACATAATTTTGGAACCAAACTAAATTGAAAAAAAAAGTAGGTGGCAAGCTATTCTGTTGTAAAATAACATTTGAAAATAGCCTTCATAGATCAATTGAAACTAGAAAAGAAGAAGATAGAATGAATTTAGTCAGAAACGGCTTACGAGCTGGGGAAACCAACAGTTCCGCTGTCAGTGGAGTAGGAAGGCACCGAATAGCGGTGATGTGTGTCCGGGTCCATTTTGACTCGGTGCTATTCGGATGTCATTTGTGGTAGTTTATTTAAGTTAAACTGAAGAATTAAGTTTACAAACATAGAGTCCATTCAATTATCTTTCATTTGATGCCTCATTTTAAGTTTACAAACATAGAGTCCATTCAATTATCTTTCCTGAAATGTAAAAAAAAATCTAAACCTCTGACTTCTGGTAGTCGGGTTCGAATAGCCACTTCGTTTCTTTAAATGAAAACAGAATATGTCTCAAACCCTTGTAACCTAACCAAAAGTGGTGCTATTGGAAGGTTCAGCTAGTGTTTCAAAATTATTACGTTTCGGGGTTAGTGCTATTTCAAGGTTCATTATTTCCAGGTTTCATTTTCCAAAAGCACTACATTTTCGGTGTTGGGGAGGGGTGGGGGGGGGACCAAACTCAAAGTTCGCCCTCGGGCGCCATAATGTGTCGTTACACCATTGACCGCTATACTTCGTTCCTTGTTAACAGGCTTAAACTGTTAGTGGATTCGACATATTTCTTAAATATACATATTATTGATCAATGCACGGTACTTGCACACAACAAAATGTATTTTATTTAAAAAAATATGTTGAGCCCATCCACTCTGGCCTGGAATTGTATAACCTTGTAGATATTGAACAGTTGAAGACATTTTTTTTTGTTGAAGTCGTTTATTTTGTAATTTTTTATTATTTCGTACCGGTATTTAATTAATCCAACATCCAAAGAAGGAATCCCAACATTTTTTAACCTGGACTTTGGCCTTCAGATCACTCCCCCCCCCCTCCTTTTTCCCCACACACGCACACACAACCAGAAAAACAGGCAACCTCATTGGATAACTGAAATAGATCAACTATAGAACTATGATATCCCCTCCTCACCATGGCAAATATTAATTATTCCTACTAAACTAAGTTGCATATAGTTAGGGAGCTAGCCCATGGATGAAGAATCGTTCCATATAGACCAACCCGAGGCCATCCAACACAATCTTAATCATGTAACTTGATCACTTTATGTCATGTGCTAGGGTCCCCATGTTATGTGCAAGAGCCCTAATGTTATGTGCAAGGGTCCCAAATGTTATGTGCAAGGGTCCCAAATGTTATGTGCAAGGGTCCCAAATGTTATGTGTATGAGACCCAATGTTATGTGCAAAGGCCACAATGACATGTACAAGGACCACCATGTTATGTGCATTGACTCCCATGCCGAGTGCAAGGGCTCCTATCTCGTGTGCAATGGCCCGAATAAGAAGGGAAGATTTCCAAACGACCTGACCACCATAACAAAGGAAGTCTAAAGGAAAAACATCTTTTTATCCCCCCCCCCCCAATTCCTCTCAAGAGCGGGTTCTTTTGGTCCTGTATTCCTCACACCGTCACTGGAACTAATAATCTGCCATGACATATGCTTTGATTGCCGGGACTTACACTAAGAAAACTACTGCCCAAAACTGACCAACTTTTAACCAACATTGACCAACACTGACCAACATTGACCAACATTGAACAACACTGACCTTTGTTAATTTGGTAGATTTTTTAAAACACGTATAACTTCATTTGATCACAAATTATTCTTCCATTCGCAAAAAAAAAACAATCTTCTGGTTTCTTTTACTTCCACAGATTGACTATCAAGAATTCGTAAGCCTGACAGTGTCTTATGTGGCTATTCAAGACACACAACCATGTCTAAGGGGAGACCCATAAACAACATTCGAGTCCTGGAGGGTGAGCGACCGTTTAAATACTACAATCCGGAGCTTCCATCTTCCAGTCTCCTGTTCCTAGACCCCAGATCTGATTCCATAAACAGCAGTATGCCCACGTCACTGTCAGACTTCATGCAGCAGCGACAGCAACAAATCAACCAACAGCAGCAATCCCAACAACAGCAGCGTCAGGATTTCCACCAGCAGCAGCCTCTAGCATTAGCTGAACAACAGCGACAGCAAGTGGCTGGTCACGTTTCTCATGCCCATCAACAAGGGTTCTCACGCGATTATAGGTTGCCCCAGCAGGACGTAGCAAACTCCATGCTCAACACAGATCCACAAGTTCATCCCTACGGATACGATGACCTTGACATGGACAGCTCTTCTCTCATTGGAGAATCCCTACGTGAGGATTTGAACCTGGGTAGCACAGGAACTGGTCATGGACTGACATCAAACTTCATGCTGCCCACTAGAAGCATGGTGAGGAATGCGTCATCAAGTAGCTTGACAGGGTTGCATGAACCACTATCCATGTTGTTTGACGTCACCATGTCTTCCTTTCCCGGCAGCCTTCAGCAGGACTCCACTCCTAGCATGACATCCTTTCCAAACAGCCTTCAACAGCCCGTTTCCTTAAACGCCAGCTTAACATCTTTTCGAGGCAGCCAGCAGCCGATGGTGCCATCGTCATCAGGCTACACATCGTACCACAGCGTTCACCAGCAGGCCGTTGCCGCATCATCAGACAACGCCTCCTATCCCAGCAGCCTTCAGCAGGCGGCCGCCGCCTCCTCGTCCCCAGACAACGCCTCCTACCCCGGCAGCATTCAGGCCGGACCTTCGACATCCCGCATGTCGCCAGGCGCCATGAACCTCGCTTATCAGCAACACATGCTCAGCCTGTCACAGCAGTATCAAATAGGCGTGTCTTCATCTTCCAGCATTCCAACGGAAAGGCCAGCAGGCTCGGTGAACATGTCTTACCGTTACCCGATCAAAAAAGAAGATGAAAACAAAAGTTCGGCAGTCCAAACCTTTCAGTGCCCGATTAAAAAAGAGGAAGATATCGACGACAGCTGCTCAGTCCTGAGTGCGAGTCTGAGCCCCGCGTCTGCTCACTCGCCCTCCTCTGCCACCTCAGGGTCACTGCCCTCAAAGAGACGACCGACGGAACGATCCTACTCCGAATGCTCAACGGCCTCCAACCCTCAGGACCAGCCCTCGAATTCCGGAAGTGACGACACGACCAGAGGCGGTGCTAAGCCCGACAACGCCTACACCGAGAAGCGCAGAAAGAACAACGAGAGTGCCAAACGGTCGCGCGAGGCCAGGCGAACCAAGGAGGAGCTGGTGGCCCTGAGAGTCCTAAGCCTGGAGGAAGAGAACATGAAGCTCACGACCACCATTCACATGCTGGAGAATGAGATGCGCGATCTCAGCAAGCGGCTCATGCTCTTTGACTAAGATTGCATTTAAAGTCTTTCTCTGGATATACACGAAGTTGGAGAAATGTCACACAGGAACACCTCGGCGCGACTACTTGCTAAACAGCAGCTGTGTCCAGGATTTATATTTGAACCACGGTCCTTCGTTGCTAATGATATTTATTTAACTTAATATTTTTATTTTAGTTATAATGTTACACTTCTGAAATGTGATCTAATTTAGTGCAAGAACTACTAGCCCTGGTAGATTTTGGGTATATATGGTACCACTTGGGTGCGTAGCGGGTAACCTTGACATGTAAATAGTGGGCGCACCTGAGGATGTAAGTGGAGGGCACCACCTGTGGATGTAAGTGGAGGGCACCATCTGGGGATGTAAGTGGAGGGCACCATCTGGGGATGTAAGTGGAGGGCACCACCTGGGGATGTAAGTGGAGGGCACCACCTGGGGATGCAAGTGGAGGGCACCACCTGGGGATGTAAGTGGAGGGCACCACCTAGGGATGTAAGTGGAGGCCACCACCTGGGGATGTAAGTGGAGGGCACCACCTGGGGATGTAAGTGGAGGGCACCACCTGGGGATGCAAGTGGAGGGCACCACCTGGGGATGTAAGTGGAGGGCACCACCTATGGATGTAAGTGGAGGCCACCACCTGGGGATGTAAGTGGAGGGCACCACCTGGGGATGTAAGTGGAGGGCACCACCTGGGGATGCAAGTGGAGGGAACCACCTGGGGATGCAAGTGGAGGGAACCACCTGGGGATGTAAGTGGAGGGCACCACCTGGGGATGTAAGTGGGATGGCACCACCTGGGGATGCAAGTGGAGGGCACCACCTGGGGATGTAAGTGGAGGGCACCACCTGGGGATGTAAGTGGAGGCACCACCTGGAGATGTAAGCAGTTGTTTTCTTATAAACATATATGGTGGTCATATGTTGACATTCACTTTATGGGGAAAGGGATTAAAAAATTAGAACCGTACCAAAAGTATTTTGTTTTAATTTAGGGAAATAAACGAATCCATTCCCTCTATTAAAATGGTACAGAACAATGCCTCCTTAAACAGCCAATCACCGCACTGATGAACGTCTGATGTGAAACAGTACATTTCCACTGTGACTAACTCATCTACAAAAGCCCAAATGTCATGGTGCACTGATTTCATGACCATCATGAGTCTATCTGCTTACAAACAAGTTTTTAATGTGAGGGAAGCTTGCTTTCCTTTTATAGCACTATAAGCTTCAAGAGAAAGTAACACAAATATAGATGAAGCATCTATCCCATTTGGTTATGAGAAGACATTTGAAAAATGTTTTAAGTTCCAAGTTCCACTCAACTAACTGATCAGTTCCACCCAAATAACTGATCTGTTCCATTCCACTAACTGATCAGAGAACAACGGCTGTGAAGCATTTTGAATATTTTTAGATGGAAAACAACTAAAATCACAGCCATCTGAGATGTGAGACTAATAGAAAATAGCGAAGTCCTTTGGGGGTAGCTACACTGACAGGTAATGGGGCTGCCCTGCCTATGTGGTCAAACACATACCAAATATTGATGTTTATTCAGAGTGAAGGTACACAGAGAGAATGATCATATGTTGTAAACATAATTTGTTATTTTTGTTATTGCGCGCATTTGTTGATATTAATTAATGTACTAACTTACATGCATGCAGCCATTTTCCATTATATTTTATTTTGCCTTGTTCATGTTGTTCAAAAGTGTATTCCTTAAATTTTAAGAAAAAAAAAATCGAGTTCGCCACCTGCCTAATTTAATAAGCTCCCTAACAGAGAACTGCCTTAGGATTTTAACTTGTCCAATCTAAAGCCAAAGACAAGACTAAAATCATTTTTCAACAGTTTCACATCTCTTCCCAGGTCTAGAGCTGAAGCTTTTTTTTAATACATTTTTTTAAATTTCAGACAAGGTTAAACATGGTTTTTAAAATAATTTTAAAAAAAAAAAAAAAAAAAAAAAAAAAAAATTTTTTTTTAAAAAAATAACCAAAAAAAAAAAAAAAAAAAAAAACAAAACTAAAATCATTTTTCAACAGTTTCACATCTCTTCCCAGATCTAGAGCTGAAGCTTTTTTTTAATACATTTTTTTAAAATTCAGACAAAGTTAAAAATAGTTTTTAAAAAAATATTAAAAAAAAAAAAAAAAAAAAAAAATCTGATTCTGACAGAGTTTTCGTAAAACAGAATTAATGTAAACAGACTGAAAGTAAAGGGAAGTAAATGCAGTTTTATTTTCCAAGGTGACCATGGGCAGGGGACGACAATTTCAGTAAGGGAAATGAATCAATTTTTGTTTTAACATGCCAATCAACCAACGAGAGTTACGGTACCGGTATGTATTTTATGTTAAAGAATTATTCTTTTACCGTTATTGAAAAAAAAAGATAACAAAACATACCAACTTTGTTGTTTCATGAAATTCTTGAAAATTCATCTAAATAACCGACATGAAATGTTGTATAATACTGTACATAGTTGTTTAATAAAGGGAAATAAGTTGTTGTGATTTTGGATTCTTAAATGAAAGGTGTATTTTTCAAAAAATGATTCAATTTTTTTTTTTTAAACAAACTTAAAAAAGTTTTTTTAAATTTAGCAGGCACTGAAAAGTGTGTGTGTGTATATATGGGGGTGGGGGTGGGGTATGTCCAGGAATAAGAGTGGGAGATATGAGAACTGCGACTTATTGCAGTTAAATCTGTTACCTACGTTAATGACCCATGTATTGTTGGTAATGATTGATCAGGGCAAAATGTCAAAGTTTCATGCTTAATTTTCTTTAATAAGAATTTTTCAAGAGAGATGATATTGTTCCCATTGGAACATGTTGACAAATTCCAAGAAAGAATCTTCTCCACCAGAGAACTGGGCTGTTTGAACATATACGTGCTTGGCTTTGTTTCCTTTTTACTTTCAACACCACTAACAATTTAACAATTTAGGCCTAAATAAAGAATTTCAACATTATTTGCTTTCAATATCTTTATAATAAAATATCTGATTAAATTGTTTTTGATTTTGTTGCTTTCTAAATTCTATTCTTTAAGAAATATCCACTAGAATCTATAAACTAATTATAATTAGTAAAACACTGAGACGAAAAAAACATATTTGTCAGTAGTTATGGGCTGGCTCAGAAAACTATCATAATATTGATGATGATTCTTAACCTAATGTGCCTAAAACATAAAAATGTTGAAATTTGTTACACCATGATATAGAAGTATTAGTAGTAGAGTTATTTACTGAGGAGGAGCATTCCTACATCTGTTAGAAACACAAAGACATGGCGGTGTCAGTATAGCTATGGAACGTTGTTTAGACAGACACAAAACAGAGCTCTGCAGCGTGTCATCTATTCGTAGACACCCACACTCCTCCTAGACACCCACACTCCTCCTAGACACCCACACTCCTAGACACCCACAATCCTGGTCTAGAGAATGGTATCCTATGGGGCTATTAAAAATGTTGTCACTTATCTAGGGTGACGGGGGTGGAAGAATTTGTGACAATTTATTATGAGGGTGCCTAAATTGTATGACAATTGTGTGACAATACGTAGGGAGGGGAGAGAGAGTCATCAAAATCTGGCAAAATAGTGTGACGTCAATTATGGGTTGATCATCTTTACCCAGATGTATTCTTATTATCCACGAAAGACTTACGATCATTACCTTCTATCACAAGTGCAGCCCCGGGTGTATAATTAGGGATTACTGTAGAATTAAAGACTAGTATCTGGACGGTACATTAAATTAAGATTAAGATACTTCAATGAAATACCACCGAATACCAGTCTACAAACAAATATAAAAATAATTATAACGGTAGGGTTTATTGAGAACAACCAAATGGACACTTCTCTCCCTACTCTATCACCAGACAATTATTTAAGAGATGAGACACTTCTCTCCCTACTCTATCACCAGACAAGTATTTAAGAGATGAGACACTTCTCTCCCTACTCTATCACCAGACAAGTATTTAAGAGATGAGACACTTCTCTCCCTACTCTATCACCAGACAAGTATTTAAGAGATGAGACACTTCTCTCCCTACTCTATCACCAGACAAGTATTTAAGAGATGAGACACTTCTCTTTCTACTCTATTACCAGACAAGTATTTAAGAGATGAGACTCTTCTCTTTCTACTCTATCACCAGACAAGTATTTAAGAGATGAGACTCTTCTCTTCCTACTCTATCACCATGAGGTATTTAAGAGATGAGACTCTTCTCTTCCTACTCTATCACCAGACAAGTATTTAAGAGATGATACTCTTCTCTTCCTACTCTATCACCAGACAAGTATTTAAGAGATGAGAGATTAAGAGAATCTCCCCCCCCCCCATGTAACTCACCTTGAGAATGTTTTGTAAAATGTTGGTGTTAATGACAGCAGGGTGGGAGGCGGTAGTCCTGTACAGGTCAACCGTCATGCTGACTGCTCGCTCAGCAAAAGGTACAAAGTTCATGATGACCCAGTCAGACTGCAATGGAAGGATGGAACTAGGATAAATCAAGATTAATCTCACTTGTGAGTCAACTGTTAACTATACACAGTCTAACGTACGATTTGAACATCGCCATCACTTAAGTTACTGCTATCAGTTTGAGACTCACCTGAGGTCCCCTGACGATACCAAAGGTCTTCGCCTCCATGTCCCCAAATTTTGGTGCATTGACCCCGAAAGTGATGAACGTAAGCAGTTGCTGAAAGATGTCAGGGTAGGTGGCTTGCATGGTGTCTGGTCCACTCTGGACAGCCTGTGATGATAGGTGTAAATGATAGGTGAGATCAGAGCCACTGTGTGGGCCTTGGGCAGGAGAATAGAGCCACTGTGTGGGAATTGGACAGCTGAGATCAGAGCGACCATGTGGGCCTTGGACAGGTGAGATAAGAGTCAATGTGAGGGTCTTGGACAGGTGAGATCAGAGTCAATGTGAGGGCCTTGGACAGCTGAGATCAGAGCGACCATGTGGGCCTTGGACAGGTGAGATCAGAGTCAATGTGAGGGCCTTGGACAGGTGAGATCAGAGTCAATGTGAGGGCCTTGGACAGGTGAGATCAGAGTCAATGTGAGGGCCTTGGACAGGTGAGATCAGAGCGACCATGTGGGCCTTGGACAGGTGAGATCAGAGTCAATGTGAGGGCCTTGGACAGGTGAGATCAGAGTCAATGTGAGGGCCTTGGTCAGGAGAGATCAGAGCGACCATGTGGGCCTTGGACATTTAACTTTTAAGGGGTAACTGCGTGTAGTTTGGGAAACAAATAACTATGGGTATCTAAAAAAACAGGGCACACAAAAACGAAAATGTGCAGGTTTCCTAGAAAAGTCCTGCAACTGCTCTGGTTGACTTGTAGACCAGTCATTATCTGTGAATTTAAATTAATACTGGGTATAAGAAATGTTGGGGTTCTTGCAAATACAAGACACGAGAAATGTATCAGCACTCTCATTAAACAGGCCGACACAAGAAATGTATCAGCACTCTCATGCTGTGATGGTGAGCTTTGTCATGTTGAAACTTAGTCTAATTTAAAAGCTGAAACTTGTTATCCTAATTGTTTAGTGTTTAATTCTCTTTTAAAATCATGTACTTGGTGCCATTCAGTTTCACTACCATACTGAGTGCTAGCTTTAACATCTATGAAATAGGATTAGCTGCATTTGCAACAAAGTCTAAACATTGTAACTAGTTGTACCGGTACAGTAACCTTTAAAAAAATTAGGGAATTTTTCATAAATAATTAGAGGTTCAAATTGAACTGATACTGTCCAATGACTTAGAGTTTGAACTAATACTGTCCAATGACTTAGAGTTTGAACTAATACTGTCCAATGACTTAGAGTTTGAACTAATAATGTCAAATGACTTAGAATTTGAACTAATACTGTCTAATGACTTAGAATTTGAACTAATACTGTCCAGTGACTTAGAGTTTGAACTAATACTGTCCAAAGACTTAGAGTTGGAACTAATACTGTCCAATGACTTAGAGTTTGAACTAATACTGTCCAATGACTTAGAGTTTGAACTAATACTGTCCAATGACTTAGAGTTTGAACTAATACTGTCCAATGACTTAGAGTTTGAACTAATACTGGCCAATGACTTACAGTTTCCATGAATAAGGAAAATAAATTGTTTCAAACAATGATTACTGGTACTTTGAATACACAGTACTTTTACAACACAAGTACTTATACTTATACAACGTACTGGGGTAGTTGGTCTTATAAAATTTGAAATCTTTTCTATTTTTCTGGACAGAAATTTTCTATCCCTGCCTCCATGTACTTATACCAGTTATTCCATTAAATCGAATAATTTATCAGTTTAATAAATAATTCTTAATGTACAAAATATAATCTCATTGTGATAAATATTAATGCCGGTTGAATTTGATTTTTTTTAAATACGTGTTGATTTCACAGAATTTAGCCTTTTGTGGGAAAGCCTGCATCTGAGTTATAATTAAATGCTAATTCCATGGTACTTTAATTTATGAACCGTTACATCGGCACCTTTCAGTTTTCTTTGTGATAATAATTATTTTTACACAGAGATGATTAATGTCACCTTGATCAAGGTGTCCATAGCTGAGAGAGCAGCTTCTTGCAGTGGCGTTACAGAGATCTCTGGGTATGACGGCACGATGAACGGGGAGGAATCGCTCTGCACGGGAACACACAACGTCCCCCTGAGGACAGCGGACAGCTTGTGAAGGTCAGTGGCCACAAACCTGGACTTGATGTGCTCAAACAAAGGAGGGAACGTCTGAACCAGTGCCGTCAGGAAGTGCTGTGAAGGAAGGTACACCTTGGTCGTCACCTTGTCAGACTGTTCCGGGGGCTTGGTGACCTCAGTGCCGATGTTGAGCCAAACCTTCCAGGCCGCCGACCAGAGGGGGATGTCATTGTCTGAAGAGTCTGATATCGGGCCTTTGGAGAAGAGCTCTGGCTTTTTATTGGTCACCTCCCCTGTACGGTTGATGACCTCACTGGAAGGAGGCTCAACGATGGCAGATGTCTGAAGCCCGCTTTCGGAGTCCTCAAAACCTCTTGATGCTCGACCGATTTGTAAAATTTCTTGGAAGCTCTTCAGGGCAGCTAATGATACCTCGGCATTTCTGCACAGTGCGGAAAGTTCAATGTGATCCAGAAGGAGAGACCAAGCTCTTGGGAAGTCTCCTGTTCAATATAGGTAATAATATAAATATTGCAATGTAAATACTGAGCATGAAAAAAGTCAAAAACAAAGATATGGTCATTTAATTTCTACTATGAAAGTTTTTACATCTCAATAGACCAATAACTATTACAGGTATGTGCAATATTTCAAATTTTATTTCCATTTCACTTCTAACGGTGACTGAGATTTCTCTATTTCAAGTTCAGGAGAGCGTTGCTACTAAATGTTGATCAAAAACATAAGGATTTCATCTACTAGCACATAGTGTGACATAGAACTAATGTTTGTGACAAAGAGACTATAGATCCCGAAGATATCTTGACCAAATTGTCTTGAAGAAAAAAGAAAAATTCTGCCAGTTTGAATACACACCCAATCCTTGAAGCATTTTCCTCTTTGCATTAAAAGTACGAGCCACCCCAGCAAGGGACAGAACTCTGGTCTCGGCCCACTGTTTTTCCGCCGTGTCTCGAGAGTGGTGGATGAGGATGTTTCCAGTGGATTCTTTGTCTCTTATGGTGGATGCTGAGCTGGAGAACTTCTGGACATTTTCCAGCAAAGGAAATAGCACCTGTCCAGGAAAGGAACGATCACGATTATACTGCTCCAGATAAAAGAGAAGGCACGTTAAATTTAAAAAAGAAATTTTATTTATAAATTATTTAAAAATAAATGCTAAATGTGAATGAAAGCGTGTTGTGTTGCGATCAAAACTTGAGACTCAAAGGAAGATGACGCAAAGACAGTTGTAACCGAACAGTGCTGGGAGTCATTCAATTTAATTGTAGAAATAAAGAAGACAGAAATAAAGAAGACAGAAATAAAGAAGACAGAAATAAAGAAGACAGAAATAAAGAAGACAGAAATAAAGAAGACAGAAATAAAGAAGACAGAAATAAAGAAGACAGAAATAAAGAAGACAGAAAAAATACTATTTTATATTATATATTGTATTATCTTTATTAACTATCTATTTCAATTAATGAAAAATAAATAGATATCGTAATTGGTTTAAAGAAATTATTTTTAATTCTTTTTGGTTGAAATTGTAGGTTTCTATTTATAAACAGTGGCCATGTGATTTTTTTTTTTATCAATACAAAGAGAACAAACTATAACGTAACATATTTCAACACACACTGCTTTAAACAATGCAACCTAACCATTACAAATGTAGGGTACCCTGAATCACCGTCTGAACAGCACTCTTATCATTTGTCATAGCCACCTTGCCGTAGGTCATTGACAATACCACCCCACACTTTATGTAACAGAATCACCTGAAGCAGAACATTGTGCCTTAACCAACTTGCCATAGAACATTGTGCTATAACAAACCTGCCATAGAACATTGTGCTATAACACACCTGCCATAGAACATTGTGCTATAACACACCTGCCATAGAACATTGTGCTATAACACACCTGCCATAGAACATTGTGCTATAACACACCTGCCATAGAACATTGTGCTACTACACACCTGCCATAGAACATTGTGCTATAACACACCTGCGATAGAACATTGTGCTATAACACACCTGCCACAGAACATTGTGCTATAACACACCTGCCATAGAACATTGTGCTATAACACACCTGCCTTAGAACATTGTGCCATAACCCACCTGCCATAGAACATTGTGCCATAACCCACCTGCCATAGAACATTGTGCCATAACCCACCTGCCATAGAACATTGTGCCATAACCCACCTGCCATAGAACATTGTGCTATTACACACCTGCCATAGAACATTGTGCTATAACACACCTGCCATAGAACATTGTGCCATAACCCACCTGCCATAGAACATTGTGCGATAACACACCTGCCATAGAACATTGTGCCATAACACACCTGCCATAGAACATTGTGCCATAACCCACCTGCCATAGAACATTGTGCCATAACCCACCTGCCATAGAACATTGTGCCATAACCCACCTGCCATAGAACATTGTGCCATAACCCACCTGCCACAGAACATTGTGCCAAGTCTGATGCAGCAGCAACGCCCCATGTGCCGAGATGGTGGAGAACAAAGTCTGGCCAGCACTTTTCCTGACAGCTGGCCTGGAGTCCACACACAGCTCCCCCAGCTGAGAGAAGAGACACATCCATAGAGCATCAAAAGCCGGTGGGACCTTGACAGCGTCTGCGCTTGCCGCTCCTACAGCCTGACCATTATCGCTGGTTGTGTCCAGCTCTTGTTTGATTCGTTGTCGATTTTGGAAGAAAAAGTCCGAAATGTTCCACTGAAGAGAGATAGAATTTTGTTGTTGACTCCAGTGCCAGTAACTTTACCCTGATGCCAAGTTTTCTAAACAAATATTTCTTGTAAAGCGTCGGGTTTATAGACCATGTTTTAGGTTGGCCAATAAAGTTGAATTAAGGTTTATCTGTTGCGAAGCCAGGTAGTTAGATTAAGTTATAAAATGTCTCTATTATTAGGTCTACGTAACAGGGTTGTTGTAAGGATGTTATAATATCAAATGACTTTTGGCTAAAGATCTACCAGTAATTTAATGGCCACTAAGCTGTCCTTAAGCTCCGACAGCTAAGACCCCAAGCAAGCCGATGGCTGTCAAGCTAACGTCAACTCCTACTGCTAAGACCTACCAGTAATCCAATGGCTGTCAAGCTAACGTTAAGCTCCTGCTGCTGAAGGCCGAACCTAGCTGCAACCTGTACAACGACCTGCAGGTAAGTGGGTCGTATGATGGGCAGGAAGTCAGTGACCACCAGTTGAAGGCACTGGAAGGCTTGTTGAATCAGCTTCTCCCTGAAATACAAGCATACAAGGTGCAAGGTAAATTATGCCAAGTTTTGTTATATCTATTTATTAATGTTACCGGTAAACACAAACATACGAGGTACGGTACCTCAAGTTTTGTTATATCTATATATTAATGTTACCGGTGAACACAAACATACAGACTTTGCGGGAGAGCTTTGGTGATGTCAAGTCACGGATGACACTCAGCAAGTTGAAGCTTAATGATGACAAAACGGTAGCACTCCTCATTCACAATCACAAATCATGTTCTACCTCAGCTCTCCCCACCTCATTTCAAGTAGGTAACTCCGACATACAGTTTACATCATCTGCTAGGAATCTTGGTTAGTTATACTCTTTCTAACATGTCTCTCGATAAACATATTTCTCACATTTGTCGCTCTGCATACACCGCTATCCGTCAGATCAGCTCCATCCGCCACTACCTCACAGTTAACGCAACAAAAACCCTGTCTGTGCTCTAGTTCTCCCTCATCCTGACTATTGCAACTCTCTTCTGTCAGGTTTACCAAAACACTTCATAGAGAAACTGCAGAAAGTTCAAAACTCAGCTGCTGGCTAGTTCTAAAGGAAAAATGATCACGTCACTCCACTACTCCACTCACTTCATTTACTCTTTATACAAGCACGCATTGATAACAAGCTATCTGTTCTCCGTCATAACTTTTTCTCGGGTTCCTGCCCTTCATATCTAACCGAACCTCTTTCTGTCTATTCACCCCTTCGACAGCTTCGCTCCTCCGCAGACACGCGTATTCTGTCCGTTCCCAAGACACGCACTAAAACATATGGTGAACGTTCTTTCTCTTTCTACGCCCCCAACAATGGAGTTATCTGTCTCTACACATGCGCAATATACCGAACACCCAGGCCTTCAAATTTGCATTCAAAACACATCTCTTTAAACTCTACTACCCAACTGATTCCCCCCCCCCTCCCTGAACGGTAAACGAAGCTGCTGGCTGCCGTCCGTGGCTTGACATGTAAAAGTTCTGGGGTGGATGGGGTGTATCTACATTTGTTTCTGTTTTGTTGTTATACAGCTGTTCTTTATTACATAAATGATTTTATTTTAATGTCACAATTATGCCTCTTTTGCTAAGTACAGCGTAGTGAGCCCAGCCCTAGGCTGGGGTACCGCGCTATATTAGACCACTAATAATAATAATAATATCAGGTTTTGTTATGTCTATGGAATGAATGTTGCCAGTACAAGCAAGGCAAGGTGCAATTATAAACAAACCAATTGAAACCATTCATATACTTGTTTGATTGCATGGGCCCTATGCCTAATCTAAAACTTAAAATCATTCTTGTTTTTACAAAGTTAATAAACCCAATTAGGAATACCTCTTATTATTGTTTTTATGTTATGCCAACGATTTACGAGTGTTTGTGGTTCATTTGTAGCGTTAATAAAAAAGTATACATAATTTGTATCAGGAAATAGAACATCACAATCAAGGTAATGTCTTTATCTAAGACACACTCATACGATGCATAGGCTTATATAGGTTTTGTGGTCAGATAATTCGCTAGTTCACCCTATAATCCCTGTGAACCACATTTCAAAGGGCAGTGTCTTCCTTACTCTGTTTAAAACATATTTCAGGTTATTTCCCTTGGCATTAAGAAACTCTTGAAACAAAATCACGTACTGCTATTTATATTTCATTTGTTTCCATGATGGGATCCTAGTCACGTGCCATGAAGACACCCACCCTCACCACGAACGAAAATCCCCGAATCTAATATTTTTTTTTGTGTTCTATTTTATTTTGGTAATTTCGGTACCCAAAATAAGACTTCAATTACTTGTTGAAAAAAAAATCGACTCCGTAAGCCTGATGTAAAAAGCCAGAGTTGGGACAGTTGGCAGTTTACACTGGGGCTAATTCGGGCTTCGATTTTTAAAATACTCGATTCCATAGTGACGCAAGATGGATGACAAATTAAATGAGAAGGGGCAGGGCGGAGTTAAAGGGGAATTAAAATCATATTGGCAAAGAAAAAAACCCCATTAAAACTTAAACACAAGGCAAGACTGAAGGGAACATAGAAGATAAACGTGAAAGACACACAAATATTTGGAAAGGTAGAAAAGAAGTCAAAGAAAGTGATCAGAAAAAAAAACTTAGAGAGAAAGAAAAGTATGAGATTGGGGGAGAAAGCTGAGAAAATGAAACTCTTCTATTATTAATAATTATCAGCGAATATGAAAACTTTATTGAACTGGGGGGGGGGGGGGGGGGTACTAAGAAATAAGTTTAAAGATTAGAAGAAATATGAAGAAATGTAGACGATACGAAGAACTAGATACGTCGGCAGAGAATACAGCTATCTGATTGATTTAGCTAAACTTGATAAGGAAAGAATCGTTGTCTAGATGCCTTCTATCAAGTGGAAGAAACAGAAATAAGAGGGAAATAAGAGAGATTGCTCATTTAATAACAAAAACTGCACACAACAAGGGCAAATCATTGAATTTTTCGCGTCCCCTCTAAAAGTACACCCGTGTTCAATTGTTACAACGGGCTTCCAAGATTTAGGAGGTCATTTTGTGGGGGGGGGGGGAATGATGTTGCTGGTGATTTTCAAATTGGGAAAAAATGTTGGAGTTTTAATGGAACTTTTCCCAAGTAAGCGCACTTTAAAATTGTTACAACGGGCTTCCAAGATTTAGGAGGTCATTTTGTGGGGGGGGGGGGGAATGATGTTGCGGGGGATTTTCAAATTGGGAAAAAATGTTGGAGTTTTAATGGAACTTTTCCCAAGTAAGCGCACTTTAATATTTTAGGAATATAAATAGAGCAGTGGTAGGCGAATTGGGGTCCATGACCCTTAACGGAGTAAAAATAGACATTTTGGGTTTACGCTGGCTAAATAGACAGAAACATTTTTTTTTCAAGAGTGTTTTTTTTTTTTTAACGAAATACATTTTTTTTCCCGACAATAACTACATCTGGCCTGTGTTACAGCCAAACACACCCAATAATCTGAGGTTACTAGTGTCCTGTGTTACAGCCAAACACACCCAATAACCCGAGGTTACTAGTGCCCTGTGTTACAGCCAAACACATCCTATAACCTGAGGTTAGTAAGGACTTGGTGACTGGCGCCGTCGTTTCGTCTTGTATCCGTCAGTTTTGATTTGATCGAGCTCTATCAAATTGACTACTTTCACATGTGATATGTGTCTGGAGTCTGGAAGAGATGTGGTGGAAGTGCTGGAGTCTGGAAGAGATGTGGGGAAGTGCTGGAGTCTGGAAGAGATGTGGGGAAGTGCTACAGTCTGGAAGAGATGTGTGGAAGTGCTAGAGTCTGGAAGAGATGTGGGGAAGTGTTAGAGTCTGGAAGAGATGTGGGGGAAGTGCTAGAGTCTGGAAGAGATGTGGGGAAGTGCAAGAGTCTGGAAGAGATGTGGGAAGTGCTGGAGTCTGGAAGAGATGTGGGGAAGTACTATAGTCTGGAAGAGATGTGTGGAAGTGCCGGAGTCTGGAAGAGATTTTGGGAAGTGCTACAGTGTGGAAGAGATGTGTGGAAGTGCTAGAGTCTGGAAGAGATGTGGGGAAGTGCTGGAGTCTGGAAGAGATGTGGGGAAGTGCAAGAGTCTGGAAGAGATGTGGGGAAGTGCTGGAGTCTGGAAGTGATGTGGGGAAGTGCTGGAGTCTGGAAGAGATGTGGGGAAGTGCTGTAGTCTGGAAGAGATGTGTGGAAGTGCTGGAGTCTGGAAGAGATGTGGGGAAGTTCCAGAGTCTGGAAGATATTGTGGAAGTGCTAGAGTCTGGAAGAGGTGTGTGGAAGTGCTAGAGCCTGGAAGAGATCTACCCGTAATGCCATCTATTGTATTTTCAGTGAACTTGATGGGGCTAGCAAGTAGCCATCGCGTGTGGTTCTTTACAATCATTTAAGCACAGTCAATTTGGCTCACTGTTCAGTCGGCCAGCTAACCGACTACTCTAGAGTAGCGAAGAAATTGAAATGAAAAATATTCATCATGATGTTTATCTGTTTGTTGGCCTATGTGTCAAATGCAATGTATAATCAGAGTTGTGGAACTTGAGTCCACACCTCCTCCTCCTCAGCAGTGATGTATACATCTTAGTAGTTATAACCCTGTTACCCGTGTTCCTTTGTGACAGCGCCAATGATGCCCAGCACTGTGGGCCACCCGTGCAGCAGGTGGTCCCCGTTGTTGTGCAGGATGTGGGAGACGCTCTCCAGCTGTTTCTGGCGGATGTCGTTGTAGGAAATGGTGGACAGCTCTTCAAGGGGAGACAGAATGGACGACTGGAGCTTCTGAGGAGTAAAGGGTCAAGCTTAAGGAATGAGCCCAATATAAAATTGTAAAAACAAAAATAACTGCTGATGGTTTATGGGAGGGGGCGGTTAGGGGGGTGGGGGCATGGATAGATATAGACAAATATTTTACATTCAAGAAACATTCAATTGACTTTTTGAAAACATGAACACATGACAGAGCCAGGACAAAGATAGCCCCAACAGAGACAAGACAAAGCCAAGTGAGAGCCCTGACTGAGCCAAGAGTGTGCCCTGGCTGAGCCCCGATAGAACATGGAGAGACTGCAAAGACAAATTAAATGGGAGATTTTATAAATCCAACTGACCAGATTTTCGTGAAGTGGGTGGTCGTACTTGTATGCCAGGGCTGCCTTGACCAGAGATGTGATGGCTTCAGCTCCCCATGACCTCATCTCGGAGTGCGAGTGCTGGCAGATCTGAGGAAACACGAGAGTTCAAAGTTCAAGTTGGCATCATCGTGATAATAATTACATCGCAAAAGAAAAGCATCGGCATATAGTATCTGTATTACAATGAAGTGGTATCGCATTGGAGGATGGCAGGATGATGTTTGAGGGCAAGCAATGGTATAGCGTTGGAGGATGGGCAGATGCTTTTTGAGAGCAAGCAGAGCAGGACATGAAGACAACCCAGCTAGACAACACAATGACGGAGCCATACGGATCAAGCCAACATACAACTGCACACAGACACTTCGAAGTTGGTTCGTGTGTACACAACAAAAAGATCGTTTTGAATATTATTTGGGACGGATAATGACCACAGTAATGGCAATAAATATATTTAGACAAGGCAATGCAACTAAGGGTTAAGGATTTGGCGAAGGCTACTCCAGGGATTCTCAACCTGTCGGTGGCGACCCAATTGGGGGTCGAACGACTCTTACACGGGGGTCGCCTAAGACCATCAGAAATCACATATTTATTTATGAAGTAGCACGAAAATAATTATATTGTTGGGGGTCACCACAACACGAGGAATTTATTTAAGGGTCACGGCATTAGGAAGTTTGAGAATCACTGGTCGAGACCAGGGGTCACCGGATCCGACCCGCGACGTCAAATCACCAGGCCCGCTGACGGTCCCTGAATTTCTTTGATAAAACAAATGGAACACGAGAAGTTGTGATAAAGTTTAAATTTAAATATTATGGTTACAATTAGAATACCAGGAGTGTTCGTTCTAGCTTGTAAACATTGTACAGAATACCAGGAGTATTCGTTCTGGCTTGTAAATATTGTACAGAATGAGTATGCGGCCCGCGCTCGTCAATTTATCAGTTATCCGGCCCACAGTGAAAAAAGTTTGGTGACCCCCTGGTCTAGACCAAGAGTGGTCAACCAAAAAGACTTCGCGGTCCACCATGACAGCGATGTAAAGCTAACATTAAAATAAACCCCCACTGAATGCTCTGTAGAATGATTGCTTAATCTACTCTGAATGCACACAATGAAATGCTAAACAACAAATCAGAATAAAACTAAACCAAGGTGACGTCATTTTATCTGTTATCTCGCCTATGTTTTTAATATCGATTTCTCTTGTCATTTCAATGAACAACGAACGAGTTCATTGGGATAAATCAGGCATTCGCGGGCCGCAATATTTGACGCGTCGGGCCGCATGGGGCCAGCCGGTTGGCCACCCCTGGTCTAGACAAAAGGTTCTCGACTCTGAAAAAATAGCGTTATTTCGTGCTTACATTCGTTTCCCTAGCCATTGTGCAGACATTTTCTACAATTTTGGAATATGAATTTAAACCAACAAAAAAAACAAAAAAAACAAAACAAACCAACGTGAACAATTTAATAAATACGGGGATCCAGGGATCCAAAATGGGAGCAATGGTTGGTTTGTGATACCTCAAGTCACGAATGTCAAGGTCAACTTTTCCTAGTATATCAGCAGACGTTCGTGTACGTTGAAAAGAGTGTGGTCGTCGCGGGCGCTTAATTGGTCGCTAGGTGGGGCGCACAGGAAGAGACACGTAACGAACGTACGGACATTTGGAAGTGTTGCAAGCGAAATAAAAAATTGGTTTGCCCTGGATGTGAGGCTGAGGTGGGTGTAAACTGTAAACGTGTGTGTGTGGTGGGGCAAACGTGAAACGGTGAGGAAGAGAGAGAAATAAACGTAGAGAGTCATTCACAGAAGAAGAAGCAGAAGAAGAGAGAGAAAGAGAAAGAGGGAGAGCGAGACAGAGAGTGAGAGAGACAGAGAGAGAGAGAGAGAGAGAGAGAGAGAGTGAGTGAGAGACAGAAAGAGAGACAGATAAAGTTTTGGCGAAGAAAGAATGTGTCGGAATGCCAGTCAGAATGCCAGTCAGAATGCCAGTCAGAAATGACCTACAAAAAGTTTAGTACAAATGAAAACACTGAATCACTGATAGAGTAAGAGTCATTGCGTGGACAAACATATGCGGGATATGGAATAATAGTAATATGGTAAATATAGGAACAAGATAACACATGGAGTGATAGAGACAAAGATATGCGAGGGACAGAGAAAAAACATATGTCAGTGACAGAGTAAAAGACATGGGAGTGAGAGAGAAAATGACATGGGAGTAACAGAGAAAAATATATGGGAGTGAATGGAGATAAGAGAAAATTGTAAACCAGAGATAAAGATAAAAATAGATGAATGGAGCTGATTTACAAGAGAGAAAAAAGGACATGAGATGATGGGGGGAATCGAAAAGGAGGGATCAACAGAGAGAGAGGGGGAGAGGGAGGGAGGAGGGAAGAACGAGAGTGAGGTAGAGAGAGAGGGAGAGAGAATACATTGCAAGAGAAGCAGCATAAAAAGCGATGTGTCGAGAGACAGCAAGAAAGGCAATGCTAAAACATTATTGCATTCAATTACAGGGTCATTTTTCCACACAGTTAGGATGTTGTAAATAAACTTGACACCCAATGGGCGATTTAGGACGACTGTCAGCCAGCTTTCCTCTAGGTCTGGGGGAGGGAGAGGAGAATTGGAGAGAGAGTGACAAAATTGGGGAAGGAGAGGTGAATTAACGAGGGAGACGAACATTGGGGAGGGATATAAGACTTGCGGAGGGATAGGAGAATTAGGGAGAAAGTGGAGAATCTTTTTGAGGGGAGAATTGTGGAGGGAGAGGATAATTAGGGAAGGAGAAGAAAATTGGAGAGGGAGAGTGAAATTGGGAAAGTGGTGGAAAATTAGGGAGGTAGAGTAAAATTCAGGAGGAAGTAGATAATTTGGGAGAGAGATGAGAATTGTGGTGGGAGTAGAAAATTGGAGAGGGAGAGTGAAATTGGGAAAGTAGGTGAAAATTGGCGCAGTAGAGTAAAACTGAGGAGGAAGTGGATAATTTCGGAGGGAGATGATAATTGTGGAGGGAGAAGAAGATTGGAGAGGGAGAGAAAAATTGTGGAGAATCAAAACCAAACAGAAAGAGAACGAAAGAGAAATGGTAAAGGAGAGAGAAATAAATATAAAAAGATATAGAGAAATAGTCGAAGAAAGAGCGAGAGAGAAGAGAAATCAGAGAGAGAGAGAGAGAGAGAGAGAGAAATGAAAGAAAGACCGAAACAGAGTGAGAGAGAGCAAGGGAGTAAGAGAGAGAAGAAAGAGACAATAAGAAAGAAAGAGAGAGAGAAATGAATGGATTTATAAAGAGTCAGAGACAGAAAAAGAGAGATGAATATAGAGGGATATAAAGAGAAAGAAAGAAAGAGAGATAGAGAAAGAAAGAGAGAAGATAGAGAGTAAGAAAGAAAAAGATAGAGGGTGAGAGAAAGATAGAGGGAGAGAGAAAGAAAGAGAGAAAGAGAAAGATAATAAAGAGAGAGAGGGAGAGAGAGAGAGAGAGAGGAGGTATAAGGGTGAAGAGTATGAAAACATTTTTCAAAAATACCACTAGGATGTTGGCAAGGAAGTCACATACAGTAAGTTATTGTGAAGTCACGTAGAGTAGTACTTTGTGGATGCATTACATTAAGATAATTTGAAGTAATTTAGAGTAACATATCGAGAAGTCATTAGAGTAAGATGGTGAGGATGCATTTATACTAAGACATTGATGGGGAACTTAGAGCAAGACATCGTGGACGCTTTAAGAGCAAGACGTTGTGGATTTACATTACAGACTTTGTGCAGTAAATCAGGGTCAGAATTGTGTGTGGAGGCATTTAGAGTAAGAAACTTAAAGCATGACCTTGCTAGGCATCGAAGGTGAACCGAAACTAAAATTATTGCATACACATAATGGCTCAAATTCAATGGCCCAAACATAATGGCCAAAACATAATGGCCCAAACATAATGGCTCCAATTAAATGGACCAAACATGGTGCCAAGAAAATTATGGCACAAACATGATGGCTCAAAGTTAATGGAACAAACTTGATGGCTCCAATTTAATGGCGCAAACATGATGGTTCCAATTTAATAGACCAAACATGATGCCCCTAACATTATGGCACAACTACGATGCCACTAACACAACACTCCTAAAATTATGGCACAAACACGATGCCACTAACACAATACTCCTAACATTATGGCAAAAACACGATGCCACTAACACAATACTCCTAACATTATGGCACAAACACGATGCTACTAACACAATACTCCTAACATTATGGCACAAACACGATGCCACTAACACAATAATCCTAACATTATGGCACAAACATGAGCTTATTTTGTCATTCTATATGTATACCAAAACCTTTAAACAACACATTTAAGACCATGAAACAGAATACTACTTTTAAAACCAATCTCATGCACATATAACTTATTGATGATTGCTGTTTGGAAAGCAGGTCGATAGGCTGATCAAGTTTAAACAACAATTCTTCATGGTTTCACAACGGACAGATGTCTGAAATTTAGTTCAAATCCTAA